CTCCGGGGAATTCCATAATTTTGAGGAGATGCTTAAAGGTTTTATGTAAATTTAGGACAAGATACTAATTTTAGGTTTGATTCTAGTATTTCTTACACCTCTATGTCTCGGATTAAAATATATATTTAATTTTCATAATTTTGACATATGAATGTTGTTCTTTTTGCCTATATATATAAATGGTTCAGTCATCCTCTATGGATGACTATTAGAGATCTAAGTTTTCCATTAAAACCTCAGAGGATCAGGGGAAATAATTGATCATATTTGTATATCTGATTCCACATGTTGTGCCACAGGTAACATGGATGTAAGACTGCACTTGAGTTTTCTACATTGCTTATGACGTGGCATTGGAGCTTGTTGATTTCTGCATCAGAACTTTATGGTAACCTTGCTTTTCTCTCCTAGTTAATTTTATATTAATGGAGACATTGATTTGAGCTGTTTGGTTAGTTTAAGTACTTGTTATTTCCATTTGGAGGAGGGATTTGTTTGAAAAGGCGACAAGCCTTCAATTTTCATGTCTAAGCAGACTCTGAATTTGCTTTCAAGATTTTACTATGTTCAGTGTCGGGTTGTTGTTTGATGGCAGCCAAACAGATTAAAATTTTGATTTCTTTGTTGTATTATGTTGGTAGAAGTTCTGTATAGATTATGTTGTTCTATTTATATGATTTACTTGAAGAAATCCAGTCAAGAACTAACATTTAAGCATTAGGGTAGATTTAAGTAGGAAACTTGAGAATTAATTGTTCATGTATTAAATGTCTTGCCTTCAGAATATTATTTCGATTAATTGTTCATGTATTTGTATGTCTAGCTTTCAGAATATTAAATGTCTTGACTATTTGCATTTGTATCTCTATTTCCATGCTCTGTCCTAATGGTTAAAATTCTCAAGTTGCAGGTCCAGATGGTCTTTTTGAGGTGAAGAAACATCACTAATCCTTCTGAGTTTGTGGAGTTCAAGGTTAGGAAGAATAATAGTGATGTGGTTCATTTTGGCAGGGTATTTAAAACTTATGCTATCAAGTCTCTCTCCCAAGTTACATTCAGTTTATTGTACTTGTTTGGGATTCAGTTTGAATGCTTTTCATCTTTCACTTTAATCTGTGGTTCTATGTAGTAACATTTTTAAAATCGAGCAATGGATTGAATTGGCCTTTTTTCTCGAGCCGTTGCACCATATACTTGTGTGAACCGACTAATCAGAAGCAATTTTTAAAAAATCAAAGGATTAATTCGGTAGCGTCTTAGCATTATAAGAAAATGCGAATTAATTTTAAAAAAAATATTAAAATGACCAATGACAACGTTTGCAAAATGTTGCCAAAATCAAAGGATGAGAATACCGCAACATTTTTTAAACGTTGCAAAAGACTCTCTCTCAACGGCAATATAGACCTCCGCAACACACGCTAAAACGCTGCAAAAGGCCTTCTGCAGCGTTTTTTGGCCACTGCAAAAGGTGTTTTTTGGTGTAGTGATCCCTATTTGATACAATTGAGATGAAGATTTTATACAATCTAACAATTTCCTGAATGTATAATTATGTCAACCTCAATTTTTAGGACTATTGTTCTATTATTTTATTAGCCAACAATGTAAATAACGTAAAATTTCTTGGTTTTTGCAAGTTTTTCTTAAAACTTGCATATGAAAAAGATGCAACAACATTAAATTGAGAAACACGGGAATGAATTCTTTGAAAGCTCTTGGGTTTTCAACATGTTCACATTTTGAATAATTAGTATAACTATTTCGGAACGATATTTTTGAACTATTACAAACTATCCACACATGCCAATGGAAATAATAAAACCACGTCTTGGAAGCTAATAACGAGAAACAACCTTGTATCATGATAATTTTGTATTAAAATGTAAGCCTCAAGATATTTTGAAAATAATAACTTTTACTTGTCGATGAGTCCATATATGTCGTCACTTAGTGATCATCCTGTGTCTCAACACCAGTGCCAGTCCTCTGATTTTCAGAGCTTGAGGCAAACTTCATAAATTAGGCTCCCAAAAATAGTAGTATACATAATCTATAAGTGTATTATGGAACCAATTGTTAACTTAAAACTTAACAATAAAACAATAAGCAAAATGTATTATACAAAAAAATTATATTATAATAAGTTGTTGCCTTTACGCTTTACTTCCATAAATACCACATAAATGGTAACAGTATTTACTCTTACTTTATAAGGAAACTCTTCTAAATAAAACAACTCCATGGAAGCATGAAACCTTAAATATATTACTTCAAAGAGCAGTTTAAGTTCATGCCTTTTCATTTCCAGACAATTGTGTGTGAAACAATGGCTTCTTTGAGATACATGTACACCTCCAATTG